TTGCCTCATGTCCCTGCAGCCCTATGCTCTTCAGGTATAGAAGTCTTAGTTCCAGAGGGAGGAATGCACCCGCCTGGAGGCACATCACTGATTCTATTGAACTGGAAGTTAAAAATGCTACCTGGTCACTTTGGGCTGCTTATGCCTCTGGATCAACAGGCAAAGAAGGGAGTTAACATCTTCTCTGGTGTGATTGATCCTGATTACCAAGCAGAAATTGGATTGATATTATCTAATAGAGATAAAGAAGAGTATGTCTGGAATGCAGGAGATCCCTTAGGTGTCTCTTAGTATTACCATGCCCTGTGATTAAAGCCAATGGAAAATTATAGCAATCCAATTCCAGCATGACTACTAATGGCCCAGACTCTTCAGGAATGAAGGTTTGGGTCACCCCACCAGGCAAAGAACCATGACCAGCTGGGGTGCTTGCTGAGGGTAAAGGGAATATGGAATAGGTGGTGGAAGAAAGTAGTTCTAAATACCAGCTATGACCACATGACCATTTGCAGAAAGGAGGACTGTAATTGTTAGGACTATTTCTTCCTCATATGTGTACATCAATGTTTTCTTCACTTATAAAATATAAGATGTAAACAGGACTAGTGTGTTTTTGGTTGTATGTGTGTTAGTTGTATCATGTTAGGTGCAAGTATGACTTTATAATTGTCTTTATTTAGAGATTGTATGTGGTTTAAGGAGATGTGTATAGGTGCCAAGTTGACAAGGGTTGGACAGTGATGGTTAAGGTTGTGTATCAACATCAACTTGGCTGAGCCAGTATTCTCAGTGGCTTGGCAGTTAGGATGTAATTTGTCAGTTATGTAATGATGCAATCACCTCCATGATGAGATCTGATATAATGTAATCATCTCCATGAATTCTGCTGTGAGCAGCCAGTCAGTTGAAAGAGAGTTTCCTTGGGGGTTTGGTCTGCATCCAGTATATATGGACTTCCTGGCAAAGCTTGCTCACTTTTACTCTGCTCTGAATCCTGCTTTGGCTCATTATCATGTTACCTCCAGTTCATGGGACTTGAGCCAGCAGCTAGCTATCTTACCTGCTGATCTTGGGTTTGTCAGCCCCTGCAGCTATGTGAGTCAGGAGAAGCCTCCAGCCTGACACCTGACCCATGGACTTAGGACTTTCCAGCCTCTACAATCGTGTGAGCCCATTCCTTGATATAAATCTCTCTCTCTCTCCTAACATATATATATGCTTCACTGGTTTGCTTCTCTAGATAACCCAGTCTAAGACAGTTTCTGGTGAGAAATCAATGCTTAGTCTTATTGGTGACTGTTTGTAAGTGATATTTCATTTTTTACAAGCTGCTCTCAGAATTCTTTCTTTGTCTTTGGGTTTGAAAAGTTTGGTTATTATATGCCTTGGTGGATTTCTTTTTGAGTTTATCCTATATGGAGTTCGTTGATCTTCTTGGATGGAAACCTTGTCTTTCATGATATTTGGGAAGTTTTCTGCCAATTTATCTTCTAAAATTCTCTCTGTACTTTCTTCTTCTTCTCCTCTTCTGGAATTCCTATTATGCATAAATTGTTCCTCTTATTGGTGTACAACATAACTCTTAGGCTTTCTTCATTTTTTTTTTGATTGTTCCCCAAAAAAAATTAGTATCAAGGGATTTTTCTCTGTTTTGATGATTCTTTCTTCCATTGATTCAAGTGTATTGTGTCCAATGAGTTATCTATTTCTAATATTTATTGTTAATTTTCTGGATTTCTAGTTGTTGTTTTCATATGGTTTCTATTTCTCTGTTGAGTTTGTCATTTTGTTCTTGAATTATTTTCCTGAATTCTTCTGGAGTTTTTTTTCTGTGTTTTCCTTGATATCTTTGAGGAACTTAAATATTAATTCCTTGTCAGGTAGTTCTATCAGTTCTTCCTCAGTAACGGTTTCCATCCTTTTGTTTCGCACATTTGCCTACACCATTGTATCTTGTTTCTTCATATGATTTGCAATTAACTTCTGTCTTCAAGGCCATGTTCTGCTATATTTGTTTGTTTATTTCTTTATTTAATTTATGTTTATTTGCCTTTCTTTGTAATGCCTTGCTTTTTGTTTTGGTATATTTGTAGCTTAGCTTCTTCCCTTTCTTTTTATAATGATTATTTTCCTTTATATTGTTATAATTGATGTTGTTTTATAGTATTGGTCTGTGTATGACTATAAAATAGCTGCCTGTTATCTAGTCTCTGTAGAGATTTGGAGCTGTCAGTTGCTAGGTGTACTTTCTTCTCACTGGCAGGTGTGTTGAGTTGCACACACTCTGTACTCCTGTGTCATTAGGCATGTATGATTTCTCTTAGAGGACTGCTTTTTGGTTTACAATCAAGTCCTTTCCCCGATGTGTGGTACTAGGTGTCAGTTGGTCAAGGTCCTTTCACAGCTCTTGATGAATAATGCATTCCCTTTGCATTGCTAAGAGCAGTTAATGTGACCCCTGAAGCACAGGATGGGGCACAGGGAGGGGCAGGCAGGATAGGGTGCAAAGGCTCGTATGATCAGGGAGGGGTCAGCAGGGGAGGGCACGGAGTCCATTCAGCTGAGGGACAGGAAGCTGGTAAGGGCACATAATTTTGCTTAGCTGGTGTGAAGTGGGTGGTGTTCAGCACAGCAGGAAACAGAGTCCCACTCAGCTGGGTGGGGGTTAGTAGGACAGGGTGTGGAGTCCCACTCTACCAGGGGCTGTGTAGCTGGGGAGGGCATGGAGTCATGCTCATCTGGGTGGGGTCTGTGGGTGGGACAGGTAAGGGGCAGGGGCCTGCACATTCAGGATGTTGTGCGACATGAAGTGGAGCCTGCTAGGGTTTGTACAGATGGTCTACTCCTCAGGGAGGGGTGGAGGGCATGGCTGGGTTTGTCGGGCTTCTGGGAGTGGTCATGGGCATGTGTCTTATTCAGGGTTCTCTAGAGAAGCAACACCAGTAAAGCATGCAAATATGTATATATATATAGAGATTTATATCAAGGAAATGGCTCACACCGTTGTAGAGGCTGTAAAGTCCCAAGCCTGTGAGTAAGGCCAGAGGCCTCTCCTGATTCATGTAGCCGCAGTGGGCTGGCGAACCCAAGATTGGCAGGTTGGAAAGCAGAGCTGCTGCTCACAGACTGCGAAGACAGACAAATCCAAAGATTGGAAGGCAAGACCGCAGGCAAGCTGCTAGCTCAAGTCCCAAGAATTGGAGATCGGATGAACAGGAGCCAGCTGCAGGATCCAGAATGAGCAAATGCCCCTGAACCCTGCTAGAACGTCCACCCACACTCAATGCAGGCCACATGCCCAAGGAAACTCCCCTTCGACCAATTGGCTGCTCACAGAAATCCCATCATGAGGGTGATCACATATCAAATCTCAACAGTGAAGTGACTACATCACAGGACTCCCAAAGCACTCAGAATCATGGCCCAGACAAGTTGACACACAATCTTAACCATCACAGCGTGGCTAGGCTTGTGTACACGAGAACTAGCCACCTGTGTCTCGGGTAGTAGGCATGGCTGGCTTGTATGTGTCTGTGCAGTACTCCTGCACCTCAGGGAGGGGTGGTGGGCATGGCTAGGCTTGCGCCCTTCAGAGCAGGCCTCCTGGGCCTCAGAGAGGATTGATGGGCTTGGCCAGGTTTTCATGCATCAGCTAGGGCCTCCTGTGTCTCGGGGAGGGGGTGGTGTGTGTGGCCAGACTTGTGCCATTCAGCACGGGCCACCTGCACCTCAGGGAGAGGTAGTGGGCATGGATGGGCTTGCCTGCATCAGCTAGGATCTCTTGCATCTCAGGGAGGGGGTGGTGGGTGGGGCTGGGCTTGCTGGAACAAGTACAAGCAGCCTACACTTCCAGGAGCAGGTGGTGGGAAGGACCAGGCTTGGGCATGCAAGTGAGAGCCACCAACACCTGAGGGCAGAGGTGCTGAGTATGGCCAGGCTTGCATAAGCAAGTATTAGCAGCCTCCACATTTCGGGAGGGGGCGGTGGGAGGGACCAGGCTTGGGCATGTAACTGAGAGCCACCTGCATCTCAGAGAGGAAGTGGTGGGTGTGGCCAGGTTTGCACATGTTCATGCTGGACTCCTGTGCCTCAGGGAGATGGTGGGGCGTGGCTGGGCTTGCACACCTTGGCTCTGTCCACCTGTGCCTCAGAGCACACTCTAATGCAGATGACAGGTGGGGTGACTGCTTCCACAGGGCCAGTTCTGGTGGGGTGGCTCTACTTGTTACTCTGTGGGTTGACTTTTCACTGGGTGTGGCTCCGGTATAAATGGCTAGGTGCTTCCACCAACAAGCAGTCCCTGGTGCCTGTACTAATTCCTAGCTCCCTCCCTTCTTGCACGCACCAGAAGGGCTGGAGCTCTGTTCCTCCCCTTTACTTCCCTGTAAATGCACACTCCCTGTCTACACTTTCTCCTTCTCTAAGGCTCCAATGACTCAATCTGTTTCGCTTGCTCCAGAGGCACTTCTCTGTGGTTCCCTAGTTTCAAAGCTACAGCACTCCTATGCTTCCCCCACAGGGTTGCCCCATCCCTGGCCATGTCCTGCCCACTTTGACTTTTCTTTCTGGGGTTTTTGCACAGAATCTCTACCACTAGCTGTGCTCTCTTTGTGATTGCTTTCCTGGGTTCCTCATTCTGGGGTGTTGTTCAACCCCATCCCAAAATGCCTATGCTGCTCTGTTCTGGCAGGCAGCAGGTGGTCGATCTGCGAATCTCTGTTTTCCCACTGGCCTCGTTCTTCTTCTCCTTCCAGTCTGTTTCTTCAACTCTCCATTTGACGCTCTGGGATCCAAGGTTGTTCTTTGTGTCTGTTTTACTTAGTTTCTCAAGTCTTTTTTGTCAAGGGTTTGTTACAGTGTGTGTATCTAAGGTGTCGTCTTGATCCTCTCCCATCATTGGGATTCTTGAAGAACGTTGTTTTAAATATAACCCGTATCACGATAATTTATTTATCAGAAATGCTTACTAATATGACCTGTGTTTATGTGTTTTATTTCAGTACGGACCAATATTTACAGTCTTTGTTATGGGAAATCGAATGACCTCTGTTACTGAAGAAGAGGGAATTGATGTGTTTCTAAATTCCAAAAAAGTAAATTTTGAACGAGCAGTTCAAAATCCCATCTATCGTACAGGTAAAGAATTTTTTCAGATAGTTCATTTGAAATACAACATTGTAATCCAAGAATTGTTTTATGTAAAAATTATATTCTTGCTCCTCAACTAAGAAAGACAAGGGCTCATTATTTTATTCTTGAGGGTAGCGATAGGAGGGGAAAGAGTATGTGATAAGTTTATGTGGACATTGAAAAATAAATTATTGATAACATAATAAATTTAGATTTCAACTAGCCATTTGTTAACGATGAGGTCACCTCTCTGATTTTTTTCATTAGAGAATATTTGGAACCTGGATCATGTTACAGCTCCCAAGATAATGCTAACTCTCTTCTGCCACTTGTATATACACTGTTCTACAGGCTATAGTCTTTGGCTTGGTTACATGTTGCTACTTTGCTCCCTGAAAGTATAATTCCGCTACTTAATATACCCTTTACTATGGCGTTTCCTGACATGTTCCATAGGGCCATTAAGGTAAGCAGGACTTGGCTTGCCCTTTCACAATTCTCCATCCTCAGAGATTGCTAGATTGTACTGGTCAGCATGCTTCCAGTATGGCCGTCTTTATTTCTTTCTAGACTGTAAACGTGTGCTGAGGCCATTTGTTCTCCCAGGAATGCAGAGCTGGTTCATTTTATGCCTTTTTTTTTTTTTTCTTCTTTTTTTTCTCCTTTTGCAATGGCTGTGCTGGCTTCTACTGTGTATGGCTTCTTCCTCTCTGCTTTCCTGTTTTTTTTTTTTTTTTCTCTTCTTTCCTCTTAGGTTTTTCACTTCATGTAGCCTCTTATGCATTTCTTGCCATTAAGACAAAGAAGTTCGCTTTAAAAGCTATTAGTGATCAAGAAGAGTGCTTATTTTTTCTCCTTGCTTGCATGGAAAAATAAAAAAACCAGTATGTTGGACTATTAGTTTGACAAATGCACAGTTGTTTAACCAGCACAACAAACAGAGCAGTTCCATTATCCTAAATAGTCCCTCATGCTGCCCCTTTGTAGACAAACCCTCATCTCACCCCTAACTCATGGCAAGCACTGATCTACTGTCCATCCCTATAGCTTGCCTTTTCTAGATGTCATATGAATGGAATCATACAGACTAAAACCTTTGAGTCTGACTTGATTCGCTTAACTTGACACATTTGAGATTTATCCATGCTGTTACGTGTATCAGTAGCTCTTTCCTTTTTAATACTGAGTAATATTCTATTGTATGGAAATGCTACATCTTGTTTATCTATTCACCTGTTGGACATTTGGGTTATTTCCATGTTCTGCAATTATGAATAATGTTGCTACAAATCTTTGCATAAAGGTATTTGTGTGCACACAAGTTTTCATTTTTTTAAATACCTAAGAGTGAGATTACTGGTTCATAGCATACATGTATGTTTGACATTATAAGAAACTGCCACACTGTTTCCCAAAGTGGCTGTACCATTTTGCACTTCCACCAACAATGTATGAAAGTTCCAGTTGCTCCCCATCCTTTCTAGTACTTGTTATTGTAAGTTTATCAATTTTTTAAAAAAATTTAGATATTTTAATAGGGTATAATGGTATCTCATTATGGTTTTAATTTGCATTTCCCTAGTGATTAATGATGTTGAGCCATATGCTTATTTGGCATCTGTATATATTCTTCATTAATGGGTCTGTTCAGATATTTTGCTCATTTTAAAAATTGAGTTGTTTTCCTCTTGTTGAGTTTTGAGAATTCTTAATATGTTCTGAAAACAAGTTCTTTGTCAGCTATATGATTTGCAGATATTTTCTGCCAGTCTCTAGCTTAACCTTTCATTTCCCTAACACTGTTTTTCACAGAAGAAAAATTTAAATTTTGATGAAGTCCAATTTATGATTTTTTAAAGAATCATGCTTAAGTGTCAAGTTTAAGAAGTCTATTCCTAAGCCAAGGTCACATAAATTTTTATTCTAGGTATCCTTCTAAAACTTTTATGGTTTTACGTTTTACAATTATGTTTATAATCAATTTTGAGTTAATTTTTGTATAATGTGTGAGGTATAAGTTGAGGCTCATGTTTTTGCATATGGACATCTAATTGTTCCAACACCATCTATTAAAAAAACCTATCTTTTCTCCCTTGACATTGTCCCACAGTTTCCTGAGGCTTTGTTCATTTTTTTTAATCTTTCTTTCTCTGAATTCTTCAGACTTTATGATATATGTTAGTCTATTTTTCTGTTTACTGACTTTTCTCTGTCATCTACATTTTGCTATTGAGCCCATTCAGTGAATTTTATATTTCCAACATTGTATTTTAGGTCTAAAATTTCCTTTTTTTTAATAGTTTCTATTTCTCTGCTGAGAACCATTTCTTTACATTTCTAAAGTGTCTATCTTTGCCGCATGGAAGATAGTTCTAATAGTTGCTTTGAAGTCTTCATCTGAATCATTTTATGATCAGCAGGTATTGATTGGCATTCTCTTGACAAATATAAATTTTTTTGTTCTTTATATGTATCTTAGTTTCCTAGGGCTGCCAAAACAAAATACCACAAGGTGGGTGGCTTTAAAGAACAAAAATCTATCTTGTAACAGTTCTAGAAGCTAAAAGTCCTAATTCAGGATGTCAGCAGGGCTATGTTCTCTCTCTCTCTGTTCTGGAGGAGATCCTTCTTTGTCAGTAACCCCAGGAACTTATTGGCATTTCTTGGGTTGTAGATGGATCCTTACATGGCATATTCCCCAGAAGCCTCCCCATTTGTAAGACACCGTTCAGAAGGGATGGAGTTTAGAGCCTACCCTACTCCTGTATGACCTTGTTTAACTTCACTGATAACAAAAGAAAAACGCTATTTCCAAACAACGTCAAATTCACAGGTGCTGGGGTTAGAACTTCAACATATCTTTTGGGAGGATACAGTTCAAACTATAACACTCTGCCCTCTGGTCCCCCAAATTCATGTCTTGCCTATATGCAGTATATATTCACCCCATCCTAGCATTGCCAAAAGTCTTAACCTATTACAGCATCAACTCCAAAATCAAGTCCAAAATCTAATCTTTGGAATCATCTAAATCAGGAATGGGTGAGAATCTGGGTATGGTCCATCCTGGGACAAAATTCCTTACCATGTACGTGCCTGTGAAACTTAAAATGCAAGTTATGTGCTTCCAAAGTACATTGGTGGGACAGGCATGAGGTAGACATTCCCATTCCAAAAAGGAGAAACTGAAGGAAAAAAAGAGATCACAAGTATCAAGGAAGTCTGAACCCAGCAGGGCAAATTTCATATGAACTCAAGGCACAGCTGGATGATGGCCCCACCCTCTGAAACCTAGATGATGGCCCCACCCTCTGAAACCTGAATTGTGGCCCCACCCTCTGAAACTGAGGAAGTGGCAACACCACCTTTGTGCTTGTACCAGCAATCTTGCTGGTCTCTGGACTGTTCCCAGGATCATCCTTTCCTTTTCTTGAGGAACAGTAGGTGTTTGCAGTCCAGTAGCTCTATTAGCCTGTTTCCTGCCTGTAAAATTTGAGGAGGCAGACAGCTTTCTTTAGTTTTGTGCTGTGTCTCTCCCCTTTAGTCTAAACTGGGAGCATTTCTGGTGAGATGATTGATTGGATTCCAAGGCCACATACCTTACCTCTTTAGCAAACCGTTGTTCAGTCACACCCTTGGTGTCCTCTGTAGAGCATGCTTTCTTCATTTTTACAACAGAATTTTCCAAATCTTCAGGTTCTGGTTTCTTTTCACTTAACAGTTCACTCCTCGACTTATATCTTTCCTCCCACATTTTATACTATAAGCACGAAGGAAAAACTGTGCTACCCCGTCAGGATCTTAATTACAAATCTCCTCAGCCAAATATCCAGGTTCATCCCTTACAAGTTCTGCTTTCCACAAAGCATTCAAACATAGTTCATCCAAGTTCTTTGCCTCTTTATAACACAGACCACCTTTCCCCCAGTATCAAATAACATGTTCATTATTTCCTCTTAAGGCTTCACCAGAAGCACATTTACTGTCCACATTTCTAGCAATATTCTGTTCATGACAATAGAAGCTTCCCCTATAACTCCTGCCAGAATAATTTTCTGAGTCCTCGCCAGAATCATTTTTAATATCCTAATTCTACAATCAGTCACTTCAAGGCAATCTAGCCTTTTACTATCAAATGCCACAAACTCGTCGAGCCTCTACTCGTTACCCAATTCCAAAGCTGCTTCCACATTTTTTGGTATTTGTTAGAGCTGCACTACCACCTTCTGGTACCAGACTCTGTCTTAGTGTCTTAGGGCTACCATTACAAAATACAACACAGTAGGTGGCTTTAAAAAACAGAAATGTGTTTTCTAACAGTTCTGGAGGCTTGTTCTTAGGTGCTGTCAAGTCAATTTTCAACTCATGGTGACCCCGTTAGGCAGACTAGAACTTCCTCATAGGGTTTTTTAGGCTGTAGTCTTTACAGGAGTAGGTTTCCAGGTCTTTCTCCCATGGATCCACTGGGTGGGTTTGAACTGCCAGCTTTTCAGTTAGCAGCCAAGCATTTAACCATTGCACCACCAGAAGTCTGAATTCAGGGCATTGGCAGGGCTATGCTTTAGGGGAAGATCCTCCCTTGTTAATATCCCTGAGCATTTATTAGAGTTCCTTGACTTGTAGACACATCCTTACATGGTGCCTTCCACCTATGTGTGACTTTGTTTGTGTGCCTATTTTCCGCTTTTATAAGACAGCACTCTGAAGGAATTAGGTTTAGGAACCACCCTACTTTGGTATGACCTCCTTTAACTTAACTGATAACAAAAGAGAAGTCCCCTTTCCAAACAAGTTCACATTCACAGGTAGAGGGCTTAGGATTTCAGCATATCTTTTGGGGGACACAATTCAATCTATAACAATATGTTGAGTAATTTTTAATTACATCCCAGGCAGTTTAGATATTTTCTTAACAAGACTCTGTGTCTATGAGACTTTGGGTCCTATTAAAATCCTGTGGAGGATGTTGAATTTTTGTTTCAGCAGGAATTCAACTTGGTTGTGTTAAATCTGCAAGTTCTTGAGAGTTTCAGTGTCAATTCAACTTTCAAAGCCTCTGAAATGCTGTTGGGTCTGGTCCATGCACATGCCATTCATGGTTTAGCCTGATACTTGGGTGGTGATTTATATCACAGTTCATTTTTAAAAAGTCTTTGCTGGAGCCCTGGTGGTTAAGAGCTCGGCTGCTAACCGAAAGGTCGGCAGTACGAATTCACCAGGCGCTTCTTGGAAACCCTATGGGGGCAGTTCTCCTCTGTCCTCTGTCCTATAGGGTCGCTATGAGTCCGAATTGACTTGATGGCAATGGGTGTGTTTTCTGGTTTTGTTTATGCTGTTTTGGCTCTGTTCTGCATATGCATATCTCAGGGGATGAGCCTTGGATTTGTTTTAGTTCACATACAGAATTAGGGGACCCCTTTTCCAGCTTTCTTTTACTGGGATTTCCCCTACACTCTCCAGCTCTGGGGACCCCTTTTCCCAGTCTCCTGGCAAGAAAGCCAGTGCAGGAGAGGGGTTCTCTCAGAGTTTTTGTCCCTGTCCCTGTTGTATAGCTCTGTGTCACTGGGGCTGATTTCAGGTGAAGTAGCAATAAAGATAAAAAGAGAGAAAGAATAAAGGGTTCCTCCAACACTCATTGTACTACAAGAGCTCCTTTTCCCGAGTCCTCTGATCAGGAAGATGTTTTTTTCTCTCAGGATTTTAAGTGCCCATCTCGTTGCCTCTGCTGTCACCTCTGTGGAAGTGCAGCTTTGCACTGGGACCATCCTTGAGGCAGATCCAGGTGAGAAAAATATGAAGAAAAGAAAATGGAGATTCTTCCCACACTCTGTCTGCAAGGCAAGGCCCATTTTCCCTGTCCTTTGACTGCAGAGAGGGTTTCTTTCAGAGTTTTTGCTGTCCATGTCTGCAGAGCAGTTCTGGTATTCCATCTACCTTATAGTCAAAGCTGGAGATACAGGAGGTATTATGTATGGATTGAATTGTGACCCTCAAGATATGTATTGAAGTCCTATATCTGTAAATATGATCCTGTTGGGAAATAGGCATTTCTCTGTTATGTTAACTAGGTCCTACCTGAGTAGGATGGGTTCTAAATCTAGATACTTCTGAGTTATAAAAACAACAGAATGGACACACAGGGAGAAGAGGAAGGCAGACAACCGACACAGATTCACCTACAAAGATTGTTGGCGGCTCCTAGAAATTGAAATAGACAAGGCAGGACCTTTCTGCAGAGCCAAGCCCTGAATTCAGACTTCTAGGACCCCTGGTGGCACAGTGGTTAAAGTGCTTAGCTGCTAGCTGGAAGGTCAGCAGTTCAAACCTACCAGCAGTTCTGCGGGAGAAAGATGTGGCAGTCTGCTTCCATAAAGATTGGAAACCCTATGGAACAGTTCTACTCTGCCCTATAGGGGCCTATGAGTCAAAATTGACTTGATGGCAATGGGTTTTTGTTTTTGTTTTTTTTTGAAAATTGTGAGAAATTAAGTTTTTGTTCTTTAAAGCCACCCACTTGTGATATTTGTGCTATGATAGCACTAGGTAACTAAAACAAGAGGAAAAAAAAAATGCAGAGAACTCATTATTGTACTGGTCATTCTTCAAGGTTTGACTCCCCTCCTCAATCTGCCTGCTGTTGTTTACTTTTCGGAGTCCTCAAGTAGTTGCTTTACATATTCTGTTTAGGGCTTTTAGTTATAATCACTGCAAGAGATAGGGTGTAGCATGCTTACTCTATTTTGGCCATAACAGAATTTTCTTTCTCTAAAAAAACAAAGAAACAAACACTTTATGTAGACTCCGTTTAGTTAGCGTATTCTTTCTTCAGACAGGGACCATTACAACCGATTATGTTGCAATTTTCTTGGTTCAGTTAATCAAATTTCAGTCAAATGAGCCGGACACTACAACCGAGATCTTGTTTGTAAAGATTCTTAACCCTGGTGTGAAGACTATGATAGAAAAAGGGATTGACTATACACAACAACTTGGGCTATATTTCAGAGTCGGTATGTGAGAAAAAAAAGTGAGAGCCACTACCCTAGAGTTGGATGTGTGTGTGTTTTTTTTTAATGCACTCATTTAATGATTCTACCAGTATTCATAAAGCGATGACTGAGTAGTAAGCTTTATACTATGTACTTTAGACCAAGGAGCTCTGACCAGCTAGAAAGACAAAGACAAAATTACAGCTGTATGTGTTTTGAATGCCCAACGGTGGGGCAAAAACTATTTGTGGGGTTAGAAAAGACCTCCTGGAGAAAGTAATATTCAAGATGACACTTAAAGTATGAATAGAATTTAGCAGGGGAATTTGGGGCTTGCTGGTGTGTGTGTGGGGCGGGGGGAGATTGATAAAGTGGACAATATTTTGAGCAGATAGAACACCTTTTGAAAATTATGGAATACGTAAAAGAGGATATGCTTTTAGTATACTTGGAATATAGATTTGGTGGGAAGGGGCTGGAAATACCACTGGAGAGCTGGAAAGATGGTAGAAGACCTTCTAAGCTTTGTTAAGAATAGGAAGCCAGTTAAAGCTTTTAAACATGGAAATAAAATAATCAGATTTGTGTCCCCCAGAGGTACTCTTAATCACCCACGTATAGACCATCCTTGACATGAATTACAGACTTTACTACCTCGTATGATAGGTTGAATATTTCAGATTTTATTTGCAGGAGGTGATTTTATCCCATATACTATGTCACTTGGCTATAGCCCCTACTGACCAAGTAATAGTAGAGATATATTGACTGTTAGCTTAATAAAATTGTTGCTTATTTTGAAAATAATTTTCTCTCTTTATAGCATCAATTCCAAAAAATACATATTTTACACTGCATAAAAAACTCTATATTGTGATGAAAGGGAAAATGGGGACTCTTAATCTATATCAGTTCAATGAGCAATTGACTGAAGAAATGCACAGACAACTGGAGAATTTAGGCACTCACGGGACAATGGATCTGAACAACTTAGTAAGGTAAATAGATGCATTAATACGATTTAATCTTGCCTTTTTAGATTAAAAAATGTGAAGCTTGAAAGTTGCATTTTTGAAGTTATCTGGTGAATGAAGTCTACCTGACTAGGCTATTAAGAGGTTTGTTGATCTTTTAAATTCTAATTAATGGGTAGTTTTTAGTTTAGCATTTCTAAAACAAGCCAGTATGATCAAATAAGCCAATACAATCATTGCAATAGAGTTACCTGGATTTCTCCTTATCCATTCCATACAATTGTGTATTGTCTAGATGGATTTATCTCTTATGATTATCGTGTGTCCATCAGAATTCTGATAAACCATTCAGTGCAGTATGTGATTTTTAGATCAAGAGAACATTGAGAGGACAGAGAGAAAACAGAACCATGAAGTTAATGACAAAGGTCCAGGAGATGTTTGTGAGACATAGTAAGGCAGCTGATGCAAAGTCAATGTGGGCCTCCTTCTAGAGAGGAGGTGCCAGGAGACAGAATAGAGCAGTGGAGGGGGCCCTGGAGTACTCAGCCATATTCTGAAACTTTCTGCAAAATTAGGGGCTGACATGGGGCCTGTGAGGAAAATTCTCCAAATGTGTAAGGAGATTTGGTAAAATGAAGTTACCTGGGACACTTTTCCATCTCAGTGGACTCCTAAGATACTGAAGGCAGGATTCAACAGTTCTAGCTCATAAAACAGAATGACATTGAACATTTTATTAGTGGTCCAGAAAGAAGGAGAGAAAACAAACAAACAAAAATGATTAACCAAACTTTAAGAATGCCCAGTATCTACAACCAAACAAAGCAAATATTCAGGTGTCTTTGAAGCTTTAGGGGAAGGAGATCCTGAAATTTCTAGTGTTGTTGTTGCTGTTGTTAGGTGCAGTCTGGTCGGTTCTGACTCACAGTGATCCTATGCACAACCAAATGAAATACTGCCAAGTCCTGCACCATCCTCACAATTGTTGTTATGTTTGAGCTCATTGTTGCAGCCAATGTGTCAATCTGTCTCATTGAGGGTGTCCCTCTTTTTTGCTGACTCCCTACTTTACCAAGAATGATGTCCTTCTCCAGGGACTGATCCCTCCTGATAACATGTCCAAAGTGTGTGAGACATAGTCTCACCATTCTTGCTTCCAAGGAGCATTCTGGCTGTCCTTCCAAGACAGATTTGTTTATTCTTTTGGCAGTCCATGGTATATTCGTTATTCTTCGCCAACACCGTAATTCAAAGGTGTCAGTTCTTCTTCAGTCTTCCTTATTCATTGTCAAGCTTTCGCATGCGTATGAGGCGATTGAAAACACTATGGCTTCGGTCAGGCACACTTCAGTCTTCAAGGTGACATCTTTGCTTTTCAACACTCTAAAGAAGTCTCTTGTGGCAGATTTGCCCAGTGTAATATGTAGTTTAATTTCTTGACTGCTACTTCCATGGGTGTTGATTGTGCATCCAAGTAAAATGAAATCCTTGACAACTCCAGTATTTTCTCTGTTTATCATGTTGTTGCTGATTGGTCCAGTTGTGAGGATTTTTGTTTTTGTGTATGTTGAGGTGTAATCCGTACTGAAGTCTGTCATCTTTGATCTTCATCAGTAAGTGCTTCAAATCCTCTTCAATTTCAGAAAGGAAGCTTGTGTCATCTGCATATCCCGGGTTGTTAATTAGTCTTCCTCCAATCCTGATGCCCCGTTCTTCACATAGTCCAGCTTCTTGGATTATTTGCTGAACATACAGATTGAATAAGCATCACACACAAGTAAAATTTTGCTGAAGATCATTGAAAAGTGGTTGCAGCAGTACACTGACAGGGAACTGCCAGAAATTTAAGCTAGATTCAGAAGAGGACATGGAACGAGGGCTATAGCTGCTGATGTCAGATGGATCCTGACTGAAGGCAGAGAATACCAGAAAGATGTTTACCTGTGTTTTATTGACTGTGCAAGGGCATTCGGCTGTGTAGACCATAATAAATTATGGATGACATTGCGAAGAATGGGAATTCCAGAATATTTAACTGTGCTCATGAGGAAACTGTACATAGATCAAGAGGCAGTCCTTCGAACAAAACAAGGGGATACTGCATGGTTTAAAGTCAGGAAAGGGAAACTTCTGGTCAACATGGCACTATAGACAGAAGCACCACACTGTCCCTCCACAGCAAAGACCTGAAAAACTAAGTCAAACAGAGACAAATGTAATCCTGAAACCATGAGCAGCAAATGAAGAGATAAAGAACTCAGCAAAGCACTGAATGGAATACGAAACTGACAGAGAACGGAAAGCAAGGAGAGATATGCGCAGAGGTCTCCTCTCAGCTAATGCAGCACGGATTCACCATCTTGGACTCCTGTTTGAGAATGGCGAACAGGGAGTATGGGAAAGCAGCTTCACAGAGCTTCCAGCAGGAGACAGACAGAGCGATATACACTTTCCCACCCCCACCCTTCTTCACCCCCACTCAGCCTCTTCTGCTTCCTGTGGCCACAGTCTCTTGGCCAGGAGGCACCAGCTTCTGCCTTGCACCACTTGGATTCTACCCTACCACACTGGCCATCTCCCTGAGTGCCATTTGCTTGTTGCTAGTGTTGCTTTTTTCCACTTCTTTTGGTTTCTTCCATACCTCTCACCACCTCCGCCTCCTTTCTCCCAAATACCTGGCTCCGTCTGCAATCTTTGTTTCTTCCTGAAAGACTGTGAAATGCTGCTTGACTGTGGAACTGCTTCCCAGCCCGTGCTGCCAGGCTGGTGGGCTCCCTGGGTCTTTTTGTTTGTTTGTTTGTTTTGATTTCTTCTGTTTTGATTTCTTTCTTTGTTTGTTTTCTTTTTCTTTTCTCGGCTTGGGAGCCCCTTCTAGCCGGGCTGTACTGTGCAGCTTGGGAGCTACTTCCTCAGTCTGCATAGCTGCACAGTGGGATCCCTGGGAGCATTTCCTTTTTCTTTTTGTTTCTTTTTTCTCTTTTTAACTTTTTATCTTTCTTCATTTATCAGTTTCTCATTTCTCTGTACTTATCTTCTGTTCCTGTTTCCTGAATACCTGGCATTATGTGACACCTATGCCCCTTCTAGCCAGGCTGTAATTTGTGACCTCGGCGCCACTTCCCCGGTCTTCGCAGCCACACCAGTGGGATCCCTGGTGGCTTTTCTTTTCTAATTTTTATTTATTTATTTATTGTCTTTTACCCTTTTTCTTTTCATTTTTGTTTTTCTCCATTTCATGCTCTCTCTTCTCATCTCTTCAGTCCAACGGCAAGCTCCCTTAGGACTCTTTTTTGTTTGTTTGTTTTTGCCTCCTGTTTCTCCTCTCTCTTCTCTTCCCCGTACTGTCTTAGCTCCACACATCACAGTCCCCCCCCCTTCCTGCCCACCTGCACAATGTGCTGAACATCACACCAGCAAGCAGCACAAGCATGGCCTACTGGAACCTGCCCTGCATTGATTCCCAGCCTGCCCTGTCGGCCTTAGTACGTGCCACAAACAACCCAACCCAGCAACTCCCCTTCAGGTGGACCTGCCCTGCTGCACCATAGCTGAGTGATCGACCCTGCCCATTGTACAAGGAGGCAAAAACTATCGTACCCACAGATGCGAAACAACAAAGAACGCACGGCCTGCCTGCTCAGACATAACCAAATAAAACAAAAAAGCAGGATGAAACAAATAAATCTACAGTCAATAAACAAGGAAAATAACTACTGAATGTCCCGAAGACAGTAGACAGTATCAAAACATATACAAAAACAGGACATGATGGTTCCAGTAGGCATCCAAAATAAAACACCAGATGACTTTCCAGTAGAATAAAGGGCACTAGAACTACCTGATAAGGGAATTTAGATCTCTAATATTCAAATCTATCCAAGAGGGGAAGCAAAAAGCAGACAAAAATAAGGAAAAAATAGACAAATTAATGGAAATGGCAGACAAATTCATGGAAAATACAGACAAAAAAATAGAAGAATTCAGAAAAATAATACAGGAATAAAATACTAAAATAAATTCACAACTAGAAATCATACAAAAACAACAATTAGAAATCCAATGGATAAACAACAAGATTTCAGAAATGGACAGTACCATAGAATGGCTGAGGAGCAGGTTTGAAATGATGGAAGACAGGATCAGAGAAATTGAAGACAAACACTTGGATACAACTCTGAGGAAAAATCAGAAAAAAGAATGAAGAAGAATGAAGAAACCCTGAGAATTATGTGGGATATAATCAAAAGCAAAAACCTGCGGGTGATCGGAGTTCCAGAACAGGGGGAGAAAAGAAAAAACAGAGAGGATCATTGAAGAAATGCTAACAGAAAACTTCCTCAATATCATGAAAGATGAAAAGCTGACCATCCAAGAAGCTCAACGAACGCCGTATAGGATAGACCCCAAAAGAAAATCACCAAGGCATATCATAATCACACTCACTAAAACCAAAGAGAAAGAAAAAAATCCTCAGAGCAGCTCGAGAAAAATGAAAAGTCACATACAGAGGAGAAACAATAACACTGAGCTCAGATTATTTGGCAGAAGCCCTGCAGGCAGGAAGGCAATGGGATGACATATATAAAACCTTGAAAGAAAAAAATTGCCAGCCAAGAAGAATACATTCTGCAAAACTTTCATTCAAATATGATGGTGAAATTAGGAAATTTCCAGATAAACAGAAATTAAAGGACTATGTAAAAACCAAACCAAACTTACAAGAATTATTAAAGGGAGTCCTTCAGTTTGAGAACAGACAACGGGATGAATCTAGGACACAGGATCGTACCAGCCAGATACCAACCTAGGAAATGAACTCTCAAGGATGATACAAAACCAAAAGAATTACAACAGGGAACCAGAGAGGTTA